TGTCTGGAAAGACACTGCAGGCCAGCACGGCGTGATGAGTGGGCAAACAAGGCATGTTGGCAGGTCAGTGGGTGGCGACGTCTGTGTCAAACCCTAGTTGCCTGTGGGCTCTGCCAGCTGAGGGTTTGTCCAGAACCGCGCCCGGAACCTCCCTGGACTCCCCCTCCGGCGTGGGTTTGGCTGGCACCTCTCACGCACTTCATTTCACATCTCACCCCAGGTCTTTGTCTGGGTTGGAAAGGATTCTCAAGAAGAGGAGAAGACGGAAGCCTTGACCTCGGGTGAGGACCCAAGTCGGCCTGTGGGCCTGTTCCGTGTGGTGGGGCGGGAGCGGCTTCCCTACGAGCCTGGGAGTTCGTGACACTGAGGTGGCGGCTTCTTCATCTGTGGTCGGTCCCAGGGAGCCGTCCTGGGTGTGAGCCCGGCTCAGTTCCTGCAGGAAGCCTCAGGCCGCACCAGGGAGAGGAAGGAAAGGCGGCAGCTGCTCCAAGTGCCCAGAGTGCCCAGGACTGAGCTTGTCAGGGGTTAGGTGATGGGAAGCAGAACCCTGCCAGCTGAACGGACCTGATTTAGGAGCTGGGACCCCCAGAGCTGGTTCTTTTTTTGTTTTTTTTTAAATCCTCACCTGAGATATTTTTCCATTTTCATTTAGATAGAGAGGGAGGGAGAGAGACAGGGGGGGAGAGAGAAACATCGATGTGAGAGGGACACGTCAACTGGTTGCCTCCTGCACAACCCCAACCAGGGCTGGGGACGAATCACAACCAAGGTATGTGCTCTTGACCGGAATCGAACCTGTGACTCATTGGTCCACAGGCCGATGCTCTAACCGCTGAGCCAAACTAGCCAGGGCCCAGAGCTGGCACTTTAACACTTCCCACTAGGGGACAGCAAGAGAAAAGTGATCCAGGCTTTGGGAGGCAGGAAGTTAATCTGTAACCTGGTCCCCTCCCGGGTTCCAGGGCACGGTGGTGGAGGGAGCACGGGAGTGTCATTGCCTTAAAGGGACAGTGCTGTCCAGGGCAGAGACTGGGCATCAGGGACAGCAGGACGGAAAACCGACCGAGGTAACTCCTGCTCTGAACTGCCTCTCCCTGGAGAGGGAGGCACTGAGAATTTCTGGGTTTCCTCCCCCGCCTGTGTCTGCAGCTAAGCGGTACATCGAGACGGACCCAGCGAATCGCGATCGGCGGACCCCCATCACCGTGGTCAAGCAAGGCTTTGAGCCGCCCTCTTTCGTGGGCTGGTTCCTCGGCTGGGACGACAGCTACTGGTCTGTGGACCCCTTGGACAGGGCCATCGCTGAGCTGGCTGCCTGAGCAAGGGCAGGCCCCTCCCCTGTCCCTAGTCAGTGCCTTCTAGAACTGTCCATCCCTCAAAGAGACCTTATAGCAGGGCTGCCCTGATGTGTGTGTGTGGTTTTTTACAGTAGCCAAAAACAGTCCTGCAGAAATTCAGGGTCCTATCAAAATTGTCTCAAGTCTCTGTGCTTTGGGGGAATTGAATTCAATAAAAGCTTTTTTGACGTGTGTTAGCCTGCTGTGTGGCTCAGTACGTCCCGTAGTCACTCTGAGGATGCCCAGGGAGGGCCTCGCAGGTGCCTGGGTGCCAGTGGAGGAGCCCCTTGCACCCCGTGTGTTAATCCTGGTCCCTCAAGAAGCAGGTGCCAAGACGAGGTGAAAGCCCAGACTGTACTCGGTCACTGCCTGTGTAGAAGGGAACGGAACCGGGGCAGGCTGGAGAACCGGCAGACCCAGAGGCAAGTCCAACCCCAAGTGAGAAAGAGGGAGAGCAGCTTGGGTGGGAGCCTCGTGTGTGGCCAGGCAGTCCAGGGAGGTTCGGCAGAGCTACCGGGGAATCCTTGAGCTGAAGTGGAAAAAACAATTAATGGCGTGGTCCCATTTTTTTTTTTGTTCTGTGGTAAACTATATATAATATAATATATAGCATTGTGACCACTTGTAAGTGTACAATGCAGTGGCATTAAATACATTTATAATGTTGTGTAGCCACCCCTAAACCTTTGTCATCATCCCCAACATACAGTCTGTGTCCATTAAACAATACATTAAAAAATTTTTTTTTTCTTTATTGATTTTAGAGAGAGAGGAAGGGAGGGGGAGAGAGAGACAGAAACATCAACGAGAGAGAACATCGATTGGCCGCCTCCTGCATGCCCCCCACTGGGGATCAGGCCCACAACCCGGGCATGTGCCCTGACTGGGAATCAACTGCGACCTCTGGTGCCTGGGCCGATGTTCAACGTGAAACCACCGAGCCACACCGGCCGGGCAAACAATACTTTCTTATCCCCTGTTCCCCACCCATTCCCCTAGCCCCTGCTAACCTTTTTCTCCTTTGTGTCTCTGCATTGGTCTTTTCTGAGTGTCTCATATAAGTGGGATCATCTAATATTTGTCTGGCTTATTTTACTTAGCATAATGTTTTCAAGATTCATACATTTTGTAGCACATGTAAAATGTTTATTCTTTTTTTGTGACTGAGCAATATTCCATTGACTGTATCTGGGTTTGCCCCTCTTCCCAAAAGAAGACATTAGGCCTCTTCGCTTTTACAACAGATCAACATTAGTATGGTAACAGCTTTTATGTAAAAAATCTTCGGATTTCCTTTGGTTAACAAAAACGGGCACTAACGCAGGTCTTGCATTAAAGCGAGGTGGTGTAACTTGAACTTTTGTAAAGCAGAGGCTACTCTTTGCTTTTTGCAATTTCGGCTTATGAAAGGTTTCATAGCAATGCCCTGATTCCGGACAGCGGGGTGAACCTGTGTACCTCATTTTGTTTTTTCCACCGATGGACAGTTGGGACCTTTCCTCTTCTGGCTATTGTGAGCCATGCGGCTGTGAACATCACATACAAATATCTTTTCAATGCAGAGGTGTTGTTAAGCCAAAGTCGAGTCAGCCGGCAGAGGAGGTCTGTGTCTCCCAGGAGCCGTGTGTCCTGTCGCCCCCGCACACTTCGTCATTGCGAGGCGTGGCCTTGGAGCACTTGTGGGGATGGAATTCAAAGCCAGCAGCTGGGGCTCAGCCCTGTAGTAGAAAGTTGGCCAGGTGCATTCTCATGGCCACCACACCCTGTAATACCTGCCTAGACCGTCTTTGCTTCCTCTGGTTCCCCAGGTCACCCCGGAGCTCTTTGGAGAAATCTCTGCTGCTGCAGCTGCTACCACAGGAGGTGCCCTGGAGGCTCCCAAAATGTGCAGCCTTTGGGGGGGTTGGAGAGGGACTTCCTCTGTGGCCCACATGGTCCCCTGGGCCCTGACTCTGCTCGTGCCCAGATTGTCACGAAGTCCCTCTTAGACATTTCCGTGACCTTGTGCTTCTACGCCTTTTCCTCTTGGTGGTTCCAAACCTATGGAACCGGCAAGTACAGACAGAACTATGAGGGAGAATGTCACCCTCAGGGCAGACAGCAGATTGGTGTGGCTGGAGCAGGAGGGAGGGCTTGGACTCTCCGCTGAGAGTTTGTGAAGGGCCTTGAATGCCGCGCTAAGGTTTGGAATTGATCATGTAATGCCTGCCTGCCCGCCTCGCCTACCCCAAGGGTCCAAGGGTTGCTTTCCTGGTCACAGCAATCCACTCGATAAATGCAAAGTTCTGGAACAAAAGCTGCATTTACCACCTGGGGCTTCTAGGGCCTTCGCTAGAGGCAGGTGGCGGCTGTCTCTACAGTCAGCTTGTGGGCGGGTGTGTGTGGGAGCAGGTGCACCAGAGGGAGAAATGGCAGATGGACTGCTATAGCCTCTCCGCTTTCTCTGGCCCTTGAAGAGCACGAACTAAAGCCAAGACAGGTAGCCCAGGGTGTGAGGATCTGCGGTGCCTCTTCTGAGGAGTGAGAACCACATACACTGAACACAGGAAGAAACAAAGACAGTGGGAAGGGTGCACTTCATCGTGTACAGCACTGGAGGGGCGGTGGCTTGGGGCGCATGCTGGCTCTCTCGTCCTCGCTTCCTCCCTCCCAGGGCTACGAGTCCACAAGGCAGAAAAGCAGAGATTGTTTCGTGTCTGGAGTCAGAGAAACTCACGGAACAGAAAGCATTGTTACTCTGAAGTCTGGGGGGAGATTTTCAGCCGGGATATGTGGTTATTGTCCCGATCTTCAGCGGTCAAGGGTGAGCCAACTCACAAAAGAGATAAAATTATTCTTTTCAAATTATAAATGCCACTTGAGTTCTATGTGAAAATGCTCCATATACATCGAGTAAACTGAGCCAGGAACTAGGATAGATGGTGGTCAAGGTTTTCTACAATGAGCTTGGAGACGGGCTGCAGGGAGGGGACACTCCGGCCAGGACTGACGGGCAATCCGGCTGAGGACAGCAATCCGGCTGAGGACGGCCTGGAAGGTGGCGCTGGGGGAGGAAGCAGCTGTTTTCAGACCTGTCTAGATTGATTCAGCCTCGAAGAGGAGTGATGGCAATGCCGCCAGCCGGAATTCCAGACCAGCGGGACGAGTGCCAGGTCGCTCAGGTCACAGGCCCGAGGGAAAGGGAAGGGGCCTCCTCGTACCACAGGGTAGGAAACTGTTGCAGAAGGGCTGACCGCTTCCTCTTTCAGCATCAACGTACATTATGGAAAAAGAGCAGGGAGGCAAATGAAAAGGACACAATCTCTATAGATATCCTAAGTTTCACAGCATCTTCACGAGCTCACTGGGCAGTATGTGCCCAACTGTGAACTCTCTATACTACTTAATAGATGGGGGGGTGACTGAGATAGTTGACAGTATACAACAGTTAACGGCATGCAGACAGTATAATGGTTTTCTGAAGATACTTATTTATTTTTTTAACAATTTTTCTTTATTGATTTTAGAGAGACAGGAAGGGAGAGGGAGAGAGACAGAGCATCAATGAGAGAGAACATCGACGGGCCGCCTCCTGCATGCCCCCCACTGGGGATCGGGCCCACAACCTGGGCATGTGTCCTGACCGGGAATCGAACCAGCTTGGTATATGGGTCGACGCTCAACCACTAAGCCACACCAGCCGGGCAAGATATGTATTTTAAAAAGTATTAGTCCTTAAGCTAATCAAGTGGCTACAAAAACAACTGTTTATAGAACTCAGAACAATTTATTTAAAAAATTAAAACTATTTAGGACCTGATACATGAAAATAGGCAAAAGTGAGAAAAAAGCACTTGGTGGCAGGTATTTAGCTGGTTTGAAGGACAGGCCACAGAGGAATCATTGACTTATAAAGAGCCTCAAAGAAGTTTAAAAAAAATCCACGTTATTTTAAAAGGACCTCTATAATAGTGGATTTAAGTCTTTCAAAGTTTAGGGTAATCATTTTCACTGATCTTGACCTTCCTCCAGAGCTGACAGGTACTAGCAAGAAAGTGCCTGGTTTCAAGTGAGGATTACTTTGAAACATGGTTTGGATTTAGAAAGTCAACGGATGTTATGAAATTGCTTTAAGATTCCCTGGAAGTAAGGCACACGTGGCCCGGAGAAGCTGGCTGTAGCCTGCGGACACTGCCTTCTGCCATGTGTCTGCCCACCCACGGGGGTCAGTGGCTGGTTTCCTTGGCCTGGCTCCTGAGAGAGGGTGTAGAAGGACTCAATGAAAGTAAAAAAAGAGGGATTTAACCTATTATATAATCTAAAAATATGAACTTTTAAATATTTAAGTTCTTTCACACACACAATATTTACAAGCTAACTCTCTTCATCGGTTGCTAGGATCCCTATACAGTCTAAGAATATCACACTCAACATATGGAAAAAGAAAGGGAGGGAGAACAGTCAAGGTCCGCACCCTGCTCTCTCCTTATGGGTTAAAGGCTAATTTGGTCCCCACTTCATCCTGGGAAGGGAAGAGCTCACCTCTGTACTGGCCTGTATGCTCACTGTTTTACCCCCATAATGCCTTGCAACATATCTATGGGCAGAGGGAAGATAATCGTGGAGTTCTTCTCGGCGGCAATGGTGGTCAGTGTCTGCAGGTACCGGAGCTGAAGGGCCGCAGGAGATTCAGTGATGACTATGGAGGCTTCTTTCAGGGCCCTGGACGCATTCATCTCTCCCTCAGCGGCAATGACCTGTGAACAGTGGAAGGAGAGGTCAAACGAGAGAGAACCGGGGTGTCAGGCAGTGATCACACAACTTCCCGGGGACTATGCCAGAACAGTCTGAGGGAGATCCACGTACAGATACTAGTTTCCATGTTCCTTTTCCTACAACTGAGAATGTGCCTGAGGTCGAGACATCCTTTTTTACAGTGTCTTTCTCCCATTTTTCAGGGCACCAAACAAAGAGAAAATTCACAATACTCTGTAGGGGTTGAGAAAGTGAATGACTTTAATGACTGGATACAGATCCCTTTGCAAGTCAGACAAATGTTCAATTCTTGGATTTTAAAGAAAGTAAAGAGGACCTTATGGAACTGAAAGTTGATAGATGATTAAAAATATTTTTTGGTGAAAGATCGCTTTATTATTTTTAGCACATAAATTCAGAGGCAATGCTAAGAATTGCATGACATTAAACAAAATTTCCATTTCCATCTATTTATTTAAATAAGGTTTCTTAGTCCTTATATCTATAAAAATGAAAAATAATAAAACTGATGCTGAATCTTGTCTCCCTCTAGCGATAAGTAATGGCCAGCTACATGGATTCATTTCTCATTCATCTTATTAAGGGAAGCATTTCTAATAAAAACTTAGGTATTTGGGAGAAATTCTGAAACATCAAGAGCCTTGTTTACAATCAGAGGAAATAAAAAAATAACTTTAACTTATATACGAAGGGTGTTGCAGTAGGGTAATAAAATAATTCATGACCGAATGGATGATACGAGGAAGAGTCTGTGGTGGCGGTGGAATGGATAAGCTCAGGGAGCAAAAGGAACCGTGAAAAACTCCTGATTGCTAAAAGAGTTTATTCACACATTTTTAAATAGATGATGAAGTCATTATGTTATTTAAATTTCACTAGATACATTTTTTAAAATGACGTTAGCAGTTTTATTTTAAAATACCAATATTTAAAACATGCCAGGAATTACTCACTTGGCAGGTATATACATTCAAGATGAGAACTTTCATTCTCTATTTAAAATGTGTGGTGAGACACACAGTTTTTCTAAATTCTTTTAGGGTTACGTGGGGGAAAAGTCTGAAGATCACTGGAGTGGTGGGGAGAGCAGGAGGATTGGACTTGGACGGACTTAAACTCAAATCCCACACCTACCCCTTACTAGCTGAATGTCCTCAGAAAGGTTATTTAACATAGTGAGCCTCAGTTTCTTCTTATTATTATTTTTTTGTTAATCCTCACCCAAGGATATTTTTTCCACTGATTTTTAGAGACAGTGGAAGGGAGCGGGGAATGGAAGAGGGGGCGAGAGGAACATCAATATGACAGAGACACATTGGTTGCCTCTTGCACTCGCCCTGACTAGGGCTGGGGATTGAACCTGCAACCCACATACGTGCCTCTGACTGGGAATTGAACCCTCAGCCCTTTGGTGTGTGGGCCAATGCTCTAACCACTGAGCATATAGGGCTCAGTTTCTTATTGTTAAAATGGAATAGCACCTACCTTATAGGAGGAAGACAGAGAAGGTATATTAAGTGTTGGTATATAAACAGAAGCTATTATATAGGAATGGCAAGTGACAAGTCAGGGCCTGATTTTTGGATCTACCAATGTCTTAATTCATAAAAGATTCAAAAGCCAAATCAGCCCTGGCTGGTGTGGCTCAGTCCTGTGCACCGAAAGGTTGCCAGTTCGATTCCCGGTCAAGGGCACATGCCCAGGTTGTGGGCTCGATTGTGCAGAAGGCAGCTGATTGATGTTGCGCTCTCACATCAGTGTTTCTCTCTCTCTCTCTAAAAACCAATAAACTATAAAACAAAATCTATATCATTTAAAAAAGTCAAATCAAGGCCGTTAGCTTTAATTCATAATTCTAGGAGAAGAGATGTAAAGATACCATAATCACCAAAATTGAAATTGCAGTTTCACTAGGTTGTTCTCATATGGATCTCAAAATCTTAATGGTTCATAATGCTCCTGCGAATATCAGAACTGGGAGCCAAGCTCCTATGAGCAGTGAAATGTCATTCACTTTCCAGTAAACTTTAGGGGCCTTGTAGGTGTCAAGGCCCATGCAGGAGCTAGGGCTAAACTTCCTCGCCTCCTTTAGCTCCTGGACATGGAAACAGGTCGCTTCACTGCAGCGTGACAAATGCTGCCAGGGATCTGCACAAGGCATGGTGCTGGCACCGACAGGAAAGCGCTTTCTGCTGAGGGTGATTTCGTGAGGTTACAGAAGTTCAATATCATAGCCAGGAAGCTTGTTGTTTGGACCAAGACGAGGGAGAGTACTTCAGGCAGAACATGAAAGGGTGCTGAGGGATAAAAAAGCTGGTGTATTCCAAATCCTCTGAGTGGCTGAATACTGCGTGAGGAAGAGGGGAAAGGTGGGGGGTGAGCAGGCAGGGTCTGGTGGGCTGGGCTGGGAGAAGGGCAGAGAAAGGTAATCTGTATTTTTGCATGCCACCCTCTCAATTAATAGATGAGTAGGCCCAGAAACAGGAACCAGAAAGCCCATGTTAAGCATTTTTCTGGGAGTTACGAAAAAGGAAATACGCGAGAATGCAAGCACAAAGAGAGTACATGTCAAGTCATCAGGAGCTGGTCTAAAAACTTTAAAGAGACTCAGCTAACATGCTGTAAAACTGGTAGGAGAATCTTTCCGCTTTCGTGACTGGCCCTTTCTCTCAAACTATGCGTGGGAGCACTTGTATGTCCATTCACTTTGTTGATAGTATTCCTTCACGGGAATAAACCACACTTATCCATTCAACTAGTGATGGACAAGGACGTAGTTTTTGGGCAATTACAAAGTTCTGCTGTGAATATTCTAGGACATGCCTTTTCATAAACAAACGAGTGCATTTCTGTTAGGTACATACTGCCAGTTTTACAAGGTGGTTGTACCAATCTATACCCTCACCCACAAAACATGAGTTCCAGTACCTCCCTTACCCACACTTCGTTCTTTACTTTCTTTCTAAAGCCATTCTGGTGGATGTCTAGTGTGGCATCTGCTTGTGATCTGAACTTCTGTTTCCCTGATTCCTAATGCACTTGAGGATTTTTGCTCTGAAATCTCTGAAATCTCTGGGCTCTCCTATCCTTTTCCTTTGCAATTTATTTGTTGAAGAAAAGGTGACCCCCTCCTGTTTTCCATGAGAACTTGAATATGTGGCCTTTGGGTGTTGCAAGGTTACCGTATTTCAGAGAAGGGCTGGATTCACGATAGTTCCATGTGTCAGCTAAAGACGGCCAGAGTCCCTGCCCGGGTCCGTGGGACTGCCTCCAGGCCAACCCTCCAGCCCGTACAAATGGGGACACAGTGATTTAGAAAGTTAACCAGCTTCCTTTAGCTCTCCTTGTTGTGATAGAAAGAAGATAGGAACTCCCTTTCCTAAGTGGGAGAACATTGCGGAGGGGGCTCTGTCCATCCTGGAACATCTCAGAGGAGGCAGTGAGGGGCAGAGGAGAAGTCTAGTTTCCACCGCCACTAACACACTGTGTGACCTTGAGAAAATCACTTAACTGTCCTCGGCTTCAGTTCTTTTAACCCGAATAGTGGGCTGGCACATCAGTTTCATTTTTAGAGCCAGTCCCGAGCAGCTGAGGATTGTTACCGAGAGTGCTATGCAAGGTCAAGTCTGAGCTCCGTGGAAAGCCGAGCTGTGGTTAATTGCTGGCATGGGAATGAGAGGGTGGAGTAGCAGCTCCTGGGCCAGGTATTTGTCACCTTCAGAAGACAATCTCTAAGGACCCTTTGGGCTCCGGTATTCTATGTATGACAAATTCTGTTGTTCAATGTGATTTGGAAATGGGGCTTTCGGTTATTAACACATTCTAGGTATAAGTGATTCCTAATTTTCAAAAGAATTAGATTCTAGTAGGGCACACTTGATATTATCATAAGTATAATGTCATCTTCGAAACGTGATGGTTTGGAGAGAAAGCACTCGAGGACTCTGCGGTGTCACCAGGTTAGCATCACAAGCATCAGTGATCACATCAGAAAAACCTAAAGTTTCTGGTTAGTAGAAAATTCTGGATGTTTGTTGTCAAATGAGCTACTATTCTATTTGGGCTGGCTAAAAAGTCATCGTGATCCATTTGTGGCTTAAACAGCAGTCTAAGAGAAGGGCAGGGTTCTGTGGTTAGCCAGTTATCACCAGCTACTGCTATTTTTCTAACAACAACAACAAACTGGTTGCCTCCTTGTGTCTTGGGAGATCTGTTAAGTCCACCGTAGCCCCTCCTACCAAAACTGCCCCTATTCCTCCATGCATTTGCAGGCAAGGAAGGGGCTCTGAGACCTGCCTGGGACCTGACTTTACCTTTTGACAAAGGGTGGACTAAAGATCATCTCTCTGCTGTGAATCCGGAATCAGGTTTGGTCCGTCTCCTTCAGTGTTCGACTGGAGCCAGGCAGCCCCCCTCAAACCATCTGCAGTGAGATGTGGCCCAGGAAATGAAATGACTCACTCCCCTCGGCCTTGACTCCTTTAGGGTTCCTGGCTCCAATTCTGATGAAGCTCAGCTCTACTTCCTAGCCTGTGTTTGATGAGAAATCCTGTGTCCTTATGCATTACCATGTCAATAGATCCTCTTCTCTAGGTTACGTGAGCAAACATTGCCTTCAGCCCCTCTCAAAGGGGTCATGTGTCTATACAAGGTTCAGACACAGACAGGGATGACGAGGAAAATAAAGAGGGGAAAAAGCAGATATCAAAGAAAGAGAAAAGAAAGAAAAATAAACAAAAGAGAAAAAAAGAGGAAACAAGAAGAAAGAAGAGCCAGAGAAAAGGGAGAGAATGAAAGGAAGGAGCGAACGGTAAGCAAACCCACAAGGTTGCCCATCTGCCCTGAAGTCAGAACTGTTCATTTGTCCTTTATAGGGGACTGGGAGAGTCAAGTACAGGACATACAGGTAATAAAAGAATGAGGGAACTCTGTGTACTGATAGGTCTACACGATGCTAAGTGAACAAAGCAAGGTGCAGAACGATGTGTATAGTGTGACCTACTTCTGTAAAACAAACGAGCCAACAGTCTAACGACCTAGTCAAACCCAAACAAACCCCAAATGATAACCTGGAAGTATTTACACGAAACTGTTAGGAGCAGTGACCTCTGTGAAGGTATAATTTGAAGTGACAGGGAGGGCTTTCAGCTTTACTAAATACTCAAGATTGTTTCTAATTTTTATAACAAAAATGTCTTACTTATTATAATTAAAAAAGAAAATGCAATCGTTAAAACAGACTGCAAGGAAGAAGGAGAGAAGCTGACCTTGGCTCGGGCTTCCCGGGATGCTTCTGCTTCTGCAGCCATAGCCCTCTGGAGCTGCACAGGTAGTTTCACGTCCTTGATTTCCACCCGCTGCACCTTGATTCCCCAGTCATCAGTGGCATCATCCAGGGTGCTCTGACGGGAAGAGAGAAGGCAAGCCAAGCGATCACCCCAGGCCAGAGGCGTAAGGTTGCTGTAGACATTGGGACTGTGAGCGGATGAGGCGCTGGCTCACTGAGGAGCTCACCCTGACTCTGTTACTGATAAGCTAATGCAGGCAAACTGTCTCTGAAGAGTTCAGATGGCAACTGATTTTCAGTCTGCCACAACTATTTAGCCCTGCCATTGTAGGTCAAAAGCCGTCATGGATAATACGTAAGTCGATGGGGGTTGCTGTATTCCAATAAAATTTTGCTTATTAAAACAGGTGGCCAGACGACTCCCAAGTTAATGTGACTCTAGGCCATGTCACTTCTTTGTGCTTCAACTTTCTCCCTTTATAAGTAAAGATGAGATCATACCACCTATTTCCTATGGTTATTGTGGCTATCAAATAAGATCATAAATATCACACACAATGCAGTTTAAACAAATAGTGAGAGTTCAGATTTATAGTGACTTTGAACAGGTCAGGTTTAATCCATCTATTGCTCAAACAACATTGGAAAGCATAGACTTAGCCAGAAAGTCATGGGACTCACTATGCAAAACAGCTTCTGAACTATTATGCTAAAGAAAATGTTAATACTAATTCTGAAGGGAAAAATACACACTGGAGGGGAAAAACAATAATGCACGCATCTGAGTGCTGTTACCCATGAACTATCTGTGTGAAGAACATCCCCTTCCATCAGGTTTGGGAATACCTTTCTGTGAGGGAAAAAGGCCAGGGTTCCCCAACTTGAATTGCTAAGTTCTCGAACAACCGTTGAGACTTTGCTTCCACCTTCGATTTCTAGTGAGTTGCAGCGTCAGTGGGCCCCTCACCTGCATGTTGTGTGCAATCTCTTCTCTGTCAGAGAGGATCTGAGACAGGTTCTTGGTACCCAGGACGTTCCTCAGCGTAGTCTGTGCCAACAGGCGGGTTGCCGAGTCAGCGTTGGTGATATTGGCCACAGCCAGGGTCGCATTCTGAACGCGGTAATAGACCACACCGTCCACACTCACTGTCACCGAATCCTTAGTGAGTATCTGCAATATAAAGGACGTGCTTGTACATCTGCCAGCCAACTCTTCCTTTAATGTAACTGTAAGGAATGTTACTCTATAGAACGTCTCATAACTAGCTGCTTTCCTTTAGTACGTGCTACTGACTGAACGTTTGTGTTCCCTCGAAATTCAGATGTGGAAACCTAATCCCCTGTGTGCTGGTATCTGGTTGTGGAGTTAATTAGGTCACGAGAGTAGAACCCTCATGAATGGGATTAGTGCCCTTACAGAAGAAACCCTGAGCCCTGGCCAGTTTGGCTCCGTGGTTAGAGTGTCAAGCCAATCAATGTGTCTCTCTCACATTAATGTTTCTCTCTCTTCCCTACTCCCTCCCTTCCACTCTCTCTAAAAAAAAAAAATCAGTGAAAAATATCCTCAGTGAGGGTTAAAAAAAAAAGGAACCTCTGTCATGGGAGGACAGCGTGAAAGGAAGGTTGCCTTGAACCAGGAAGCAGGCCCTCTTCAGACCTTCAGACACCGAATGGCCGATGCCTTGGTCTGGGACTTCCCGCCTCCAGAACCGTGAGAAATAAATCTGTTATTTATGAGTCACCCAGTCTGTGCTCTTTGGTTATAGTACATCAGATGGACTAAGTAGCAAAACATCGGAAAGTCTTTAAAATTTTAATAAAATACATTCAGTTATTCCAATACTTCATTCAATCATTCAACAAATGAGACACTGCTCACTAGCAGGCATTGTACTAGGTACCAGGGGTAAGGTATGAAAAACCCTGGTTCCTAGTTTCAAAGAGGTTGAGGAATCAAGAGACTTTAAAGAACAAACAAATGGGCAATTGTAGGTGATGGGGGTGATACTTGAGCTGAGTCTTGAAGGAAGAAATAAAAATTTTCAGAGGGCAAAGGGCAGAGTAAATGAATATTCAAGGCAGAGGAAGTAATGTGTACGGGAGAGCCTTGGGTTATCACTAGAACAAAACGTGGGCAGGAAATGTTTTTATAGGCGAGGTCAGGGTAAAAATATCTTTATAGTGTGCTACATAAAAATGCTTCACAGGACATAATGTGCCCCCGCTTCCTACTGCCTGCGAGCAAAGCCCTTAGTTTGGTTTCCAGTCCTCCGAGGCCTGGCCCTTGACCGTGGCTCTCTGGCCTTACTCTTCCCTGCTCCCTCCTGCCCACACTGCACGAGGCGTGGTGAAGACCCTGCATGCAGCACGGTCCACGTCCCCTGGCCTTCATGTCGATGTCCCTTCTGCTTGGATGTCCTGTCCCCTCTCTCTGTCTCATAACATCAGACTGGAACATTCCTACTCGTCATTCAAAACACAGCTCCAGTGTCCTTTTCTCTGTGAAACTCCCCTGACCCACTTGGCAGAGTATGCCCTTCCCTTTGCACCCCACTGTGGTGCCTTTCTTTATTTACATTATTATTTCTCTATTAGGCTATGAGGGTTTTTTTGCATGTGTTAATCATCACCTGAAGATACTGATGATTCCTACACGACCGTGACCAAGGCTGGGGATCGAACCTGCAATCTAAGTATGTGCCCTTGACTGGGAATCAAACTTTCGATCCTTCGGTCCATCGGCTGACGCTCTAACCATTGAGCAAAACCAGCCAAGGCAGGCTATGGATTTCTTTATTTTAAATCCTCACCCGAGGACATTTTTTTCGAGGACATTTTTTTCGATATTTTGTTCAGATAGAGTGGGAAGGAGAGAGAGAAAGAGAAACATCGACGTGAAAGGGACACATCGAGTGGCTGCCACCCACACGACCCAACCAGGGCCAGGGACAAACTGCAACCGAGGTACGTGCCCTTAGTGGGAACCGAACCCGGGTCTCTCTGGACCGCAGGCCGACGCTCTAACTGCTGAGCCAAACCGGCCAGGGCTGCTATGGATTTCTTGAAGGCAGTTTGTCTCTGTATCTCTATCACGGGCAGAATGCTTGATACATAGCAAGTCATCAATAAACCAGAGATGCATTAAATTGAAATGTGGTCCTTGGAATACAGTGATTGATGAGGAGCGTGGGAGACCCGGAGTTTCAACTCTGCCTGTATCTCTTGGTGGCCTCTAGCTTTTAAACTGTTTGACCTAGAGATTCCTTGTTTGTGAGATGGAGCTAATAATACTGCCCAATTTGACACAAATTTCTTTGAAGATCAAATAAGAAAATGTTTGGGAAGGAAGCCCTCTAGAAAGGGCTGGGAGCTATGTAAACAGAAAATAGTAATGACAATTATATTCCATAGTTATTTAGTCCTGCCAGATCAAAATAGTAATCCTTTTCTTAGAGATCTAAGTATACTTCTAACTTGAAAGAGAACTGGGAGATTTGTAAATAAGTGTATTGTACATCACCATCTTCTGTGAAAGTGAATTCTTTCCCATGATGTGGTGGGAAAATGTGGATCGTTTCTAAACAGTCTTGACACTGACTTTGCCACAGCCAGAGCTTTCTGCCGCTCAGCCTCTGCCTACTGTTTACTGTAGGCGGCGTGCTTATCTCGCTCCCAGTGAGGTCACGGGAGCGGACAAAGGACAGCCTGCCAAGCCCCAGTCCGCAGCGTTCAGCAGCTGGCAGACAGCGGAGAGGAGCTGGCAGGCAGAGACATACAGCGACCCTGCCAGGAGCCCGCGATGTTCACAGAGGAAAACGCCAGAATTCCCGGCTCCCCTGAAAGGGGGTCCTTCTGAGAGTCTGTCTTTCCTGAAAGATGGGGAAACATGCAGACAACGCAGCAATGCTCTGTCTTGTTCTGGGGGCAAACATGATTTCTGGTGTCACAACGTGTGTGTGGATAGTCTGACCTCACCAACCACTTGGCTCAGTACCAGCAAGGGAGTTGAGGTTGGCTTCTGGATTTTGTGACAAGAGAAGGCAACCTGGCCAGGCTCCACGGCCCTCCTGGGTACCTGGCTTTGGCCGGGAAATACTGACAGTATTTTTCTGTCTCTCCCTGTATCACGTTTTTAGGCTTTCTGTCTGCAGTAGTTATTATGCCTCCTTAGACAGAAGTACCAGGACGGCCATCTCTACCTCTAGGGCCGTGAGGGAGCAATGCAGAATGTATTTAGCATAGAGTTGTGCGAAAAGCACCCGACAGGGAATCCAAAGGCTGAAGTTTCGTCTTGCTTCTGCCACTGTAGTCGGGAGGAATTCCTTTGTCTCACGGCAACCATGTGCTTTCCAGGGAGCCTGCTGTTTCAACTGTGATAATATTTGTGAAATCGTTTGAAAAGCACGGAATAATTACCAATCTGAAACATTCTATGCTTTATCTGAAATGCCAAGCGGGCGTTTCTAGTTCTTTGTTTTTTAGGCAATTTATCTAGAATAGAATCAAGAACTTCAGCAAGAATATCATACTAAACAGGATTTCTGTCGGAAAACCCAGAGAGGAGAAATGTGGTAGTAAAAGTGACAATGACAGTGCTAACGTTATGCTCACATTAACATTACACTACATTTTATAATAATAAACACGTATAGCGCATGTAACTATCACCCACTATTCGAGCACTTCACATATAACCCATTTAGTTCTCACAAGAACCCTAGAAAGTGGGTCCTATTATTATAATCTCTACTTTATAGATTAGGAAACGGAGGCACAGAGAAGTTAAGAACCTTGCTCAAGGTCACACAGCCAGAAAATGGTGAAGGCAGACAGGCTCTACACCTGTGCTGTGACCACTACGCTGTGCTGCCCCTCACTGCCAGGCACTTCCACACAGGTACCTCAGTCACTCACTCATAGCAAAAGACCACCCTACCTCCTGGGGAGGAATATCGAATGAAACGGTTCTCATGTCCACTTTGATGAAGCTGTCAGTGCACGGCAGAACAAAAAACAAACCTGCAAGAGAGCCATAGAAGATTACAGAGACACCAGCACTTCACCATTCCATTCCAAGAGCATCAACCTAATCACCCGTAAGCTGCCCATTCATCTCAGTGAATGAACCAGAAGCTGGGAATGTTACCCTCTACTCTTCTTGCTCACTTCCCAACCCGAACTGCCCCCACCAAGCCAATGGATTTCATTTCCTTCCTCCACTGGGACTGTCCCTCTGTTTTCACTTAGACCGATGCAATCACTTCCCAAGTCATCTTTCTATTTCTTCCAGTGTCTCTCCTTCGATCCATTTTCTAAGCAGCAACTAGAGCAATCTTTCCTGCAATACGAACTCCCGAACAAGCCATAAAGGTTGTGCATGGCCTGCCCCAGCTTACCTCTTTAGCCATTCCCCCTCCTCATGCCCTCTACTCTAGCTGGGCTGAATGACCTGCAGTTCCTTGAACCTGAAATACTCTCCTCTGTATTGCTTTGTACATGTTGCTATTTCTGGCAGGAATACCTCCCCTAATACCTTTTCATGCCTCGAGGCTCAGCCAAGTTGTCACCTCCAGAAAGCTTTGTCTCATCCTACTAGTTCGGGCCACTCTTCTCTGGGTTTCACAGCTATAGGATGGTAATACCTATCCCAAGGGATTGTAACTGCTTGTTTCCGTTGGTGCCCCACCACTAGACAGTAAGAGCCTTGAGGGCAGGAACTGTGTTATAGTCTCCCGTGAATTCCCGGAGCCTGCAACACAGTAGGAGCTAACCTGAAGTTTGCCAAAAACAGTGGCTCAAAGCTTGTATTTTAGTAGGGATTCTCATGTTCAAACTTCCACAGCTGTAGCTATTCCTAGCCTCCGATAATCTTAGCAGCTTAAATGGGAAGGGGAGGGGAGAGGAAGGAAAGGGTGGTTATAGCAGGATTGGCTAGCACCCCTGCTATTGTTACACAACTTCTGTTACATGAAGAACTCTTTTCTAAGTCACAGAGAAGAGAACTGTAAGGGAAGTCACATCGATAAAGGGAAGAATTGCAGTCTTCACATCTAGAATCCCAGTACTGACCAGGTCCTTTGGCTCCTCCTTGTAAAATGCGACCCAGTCTAAAGATGATGGCTCTTTCATATTCTTTTACAATCTAGATTGAAAACACAAATAATAATTTAATATGAAGAGTACAAATATTTATATGTATAGCTTTTAAAATACATATTTTTGCTTTAAACAGGTTACATGCCTCTATTTTGTTTTCTTCTCTGTAATCCAGATTATATCTATAAGGAATATGTCCAAAGTTTAATACCTCCACCAAGTATATTTACTTACTTTAAAAAAAATTTTTTTTTCTTTATTGATTTTAGAGAGAGAGGAAGGGAGAAAGAGAAAGAGATAGAAACATCAATGAGAGAGAACATCGATTGGCCGCCTCCTGCATGCCCCCCACTGGGGATTGGGACCACAACCTGGGCACGTGCCCTGACTGGGAATCGAACTGGCAACCTCTTGGTGCATGGGTCAACGCTCAACCACTGAGCCACACCGGCCGGGCTATTTACTTTTTCTGACTAATTATAAAAGCAATAGATATTCACTGTATAAAATCTGGAAAGTATAGAATAGTATACAGAAGCAAATCTATAACCTCAACTCCTTATCTATTAACATTAATCAATTACTCATGCATTGTTAATATAGAAAAAAAAAGCTAAAGATCTCAAAGGTTGTCTCCTGATTTCTTAAATTATAATAATAAACTTAACTGAAAATTTTTGGAGCACTTTTTATCTTTTTAGGAATATGTAAATGATAGTCATTTATCAAAGTATTAATAACTTTATAGAAAAAATAACCAGCATTTGGGAAGCACTTACCAGGTGCCAAGCATTCGGACAAGTAAGTTTAAATATATTAATTCATTTAATCCTGACAACAGCCCTATTAAGTGGCTGTTTTTATTTCCTCCCATTTTATAGGTGGGGAAACATGGCAAAGGTCACACCAAAAACAACAGAGCCAGCCTTGGCTGGTGTGTCTCAGTAGTTAGAGCACTGGACCTCAAACCAAAGGGTCATGGGTTCCATTCCCGGTCAAGGGCATGTACCTGGGTTGCAGGTTCTATCCCCAGCCCCATGGGGTGCATGCAGGAGGCAACCAATCGAAGTGTCTCTCTCACATCAATGTTTCTTCCTCTCTCTCTTTCTCCCTGGTCCCTCCCTTCTGCTCTAAAAATCAATGGAAAAAAAAAAAATCCTCTATCCTCGGATAAGGGTTAACAAAAACAAAACAAAACAAAAAAACAGTGGAGTCAAACCTTAGCATCCTGATTCTGGAGAACTTATCACAGGACTATCCCACATCCCTGACTCCTGACAACTTTCGATGGTGATCTATCTCCTTTAACCCTAGGGAAGGACTGACTAAACTATGGCTGAAAAGAACTTTTTAAGTTTCCATTATAATAGGTACTAGAGTGAATTTTCCAAAAGAGAGATGAAGGAAAAAGAATTACAGGCTGGTATGGTCTCTGTCTCTCTTACATACATGTACATACAAAGTGGGTTTATGTAGTTAGGAGTTGGCACCTTTCCAGACGCGAATGAAATACCATTTACCTTTATGCACATCCATATTGATAGTGGCAGAGTGACAAGTGTGAACAAGAATGAGACAAACACCAAAATCCAACCACAAATCCCAAGGCCTGCAGCGGGGCTATCTGTGAAAACAAAACCGCACAGCTCTTACCATCGTTCCCCGCACAATCACCGCCATCTTCACCCTTGTTATTCACTGTGCACCTATGCTTGGCATTTTACAAATGTTTTACACGAATTTTCCTCTAATCTTCATAACAACCTGAAGCATAGGTGCTACGTCCCTAATATACTTAACGTAACACAAGTATTTTTCACAGCATTCTTTTTTTTTTTAATCCTCCCTCGAGGACATTTTTCCCATTTTTTATTCAGATAGAGCGGGAGGAAGAGAGAGAAGAGAGAGAGAGAAACATCGACGTGAAAGGGACACATCGAGTGGTTGCCACCCGCACGACCAACCAGGGCCGGGGACAAACTGCAACCGAGGTACCTGCCCTTAGCGGGAACCGAACCCTGGTCTCTCTGGACCGACCGCAGGCCAACGTTCTAACTGCTGAGCCAAACTGGCCAGGGCCATATTTTTATAAATAAATAAAATTTGTAACCTATTTTTCTTCTCTCTGGATGTAACCCTAACCTTCTTTTGTAGCCTTCTTTGCTATGCATTCATGTTTTTTTCTGTTTTAGTTTTTTTAAATTTTTATCAACTATACTGGCATCAAGTTAAAACAGTTATAGTTCTACAAGACTAGCACAAAAAGAGAGCAGTCCCCTGCCTACCTCTTCCAATTTCTCCTTCCTCAGAGGCGACTGCTGTAGGCTGACAATTTGGGTATTTACCTTCATGTTTTCAAATAGTTTGCTTGTTTTGATACTTCATGCTTTTCCAGTTTTGAGCAATATTATTGATTTTCCATTATGGAAGAGAATTTAGTTCCCCCCGCCCCAAATATATCTATCCTTCCAATTACAATAGAATTTTATATTATGAGTGTAGAAATGCAATTCAAAGCTTAGACATGTCAGGAAGTATACTTTTCCTTTTCTATACAACTGTTTTTATTTTTTTCTGGAGTCATTACGTTTAGTTAATTTCCCATGTACTTATTAATTTAACCCCAAGCTTTTCATCGATTGTCTAAATCTTTTGGAAGGGTCAGCTACTCTATCCATTTCATCTTCCGAGAAAGATTCTCTCTTGGAGCCATGTCTGGACTCATTATCTCTGCTGGTCGCCAGGTAATCACTGTGACCGTCTTTCACTATCATTCTGGGAAATTCCCTTCACTTCCTGTATCTAGTGTCTTCCTCATGATTAGTTTGTTTTTCCTTTTTTGGGAAGGACAGAGAGGCTGAGTAGGAGGTCAAGGGGTACTATCATTTTTCTTATCAACCACAGAAAGCTTCTGCTCTATTTCCAAGAATTGTTTTAATAATGGAAGGGACATTGGCAAGAGGGGAAGAGATATGCCAGGCACATTACTGCTCAGGACAAAGATGGCAGTAGGACTTTGAATAAATAGGAAGCCAAAAAATAAGCAGAGTTACAGCTGGGAGCACAGGAGAAAAAGAGACACAAGTTGCATCCAGGCCAAGTGCTCCAAAACAGAGGATGAAAACAAGAAATACAGAGTACTTTGGTTATCCGTGACTCGTAGTCTCCTGACCCTGTGTCATAGTGTGAGGTAAACATCCTTATGTGACCTACATTAATCCTGGAGGTTTCTAAGTTATAATTTGGGGGGTATACACATATTCACTAAGAGAATATTCCAAGCAAGGCCACAGTGCTGCTTGTGGAGAAGCCTCTCTCAGGTATTATGATAACTGATAATAATCACAGTAGCCATTTTTAGATGGTTCATTATATACCAGGTACACTGTGTTAAATTACTTTAGATATGTATCTCATTTACTGCTTACAAAGCCCTGTAAAGTATTTTTTTATTATTATTATTATTTTTATCCTCACCCGAGGACATTTTTGCACTTATCTTCAGATAGAGTGGGAAGGAGATGGAGGAAGAGAGAGAAACATCGACGTGAGAGAGACACATCGACTGGTTGCCACCCACACAACCCCAATCAGGGCCAGGGACAAACTGCAACTGAGGTACATGCCCTTAGCGGGAACCAAACCTGGGTCTCTCGGGACTGCAGGCCAATGCTCTAACCACTGAGCCAACCACCCAGGGCCCTGTAAAGTATTTTTAATTCCATTTCACAAAGGAGGTGACTGAAGCAACATGACTTTCCCAAGGTCACATAGTGGAGGACCTGGGATTCAAATACAGGTCATCTTGCTCCAAAGCTCATGTTCTAAATCAATTCACTCTGATCCTTTGTCTCCGAATAGTTAAAACAAACAAACACCTCATTAAAGAAGTTTTGTGTTTGGAGCACTTTCTTAAGACACTATTCAAACTTGGAAAGCAAAGTAGGAGTTCTGAGAATGAAATCTGAGATTCCTACAGTCTCTTAAATCCAGCTGTGTCTATTTATAGAAAAAGATAGCCTCAAGGCTCTCTGCCAGACTGAGGGCTAGGTTTCCAAAGCGAAATGAATTCCAAACAAGGAACAGATTGGCCACAAAGACTTCCAGGACAGCTCTTGGTGCTTTCTAAAATACCCCTGTATTGCCCCAAGTCTCCCATATCTGTGTCCCAAATATACTAGACTATAAACTCCCTGAGGGCAAGAGTGTTTATTAATCATTTTTATATTCTCTTTTTATTTTATTTTTATATTCCTCACCCGAGGATATTTTTCCACTTATTATCAGATAGACTGGTAGAAAGGGAGAGAGAGAGACAGAGAGAAACGTCAATGTGATAGAGCCACATCGACTGGTTGCCTCCCGCACGACCCGACCAGGGCTGGGAGGAACTGCAACAGAGGTACGTGTCCTTGACCACAATCGAACCCACAACTCATTGGTCCGCGGGCCAATGCTCTAACTACTGAGCCAAACCGACCAGGGCTAATTTTTATATTCTCAGTGTCTAGCACAGTAACCGGCATACAGTTGGCAAAATGAAATCTTAAGCTTTCCAGCTAGATGTGTTTTCCTTCCTCTGAATCTTGATAGCACTTTTTAAACCTCTCTCATGGCACTTATATTTTGCCTCATACTTTAATTTATTGTGCATTTACATCCCTTATTAGATTGAGATTTCCTGAGAATAGGGAGCATCTAAGTTTCCATTTAAATTCTGTTACTTCTTAGTTGTGTGATCTTTACCTCTTTGAATCTTAGTTTCTTAACCTGTAATATAAGGATAATTAGACTGGTTTTGTAGGGTTGAGGTAGTGCTCAATACACATAAAATGGCAGTTTTCTCTAATCCTCCTATTTTACTCAAGTGTTCAAATTTTCACAATAAAAATGAGAAAATAGATAATATTTACTCTTTTTGATAAAAGCCTCTTAAAATACTAAACTGTCCCCTTACTTCACGCCTCTTTCCTGTCAGGCTAGGCTTGGACATTCCAAGACCATCAAGAATCTCATTTATGAATTGAATTACTAAATTATTGAATTATTATCTAAAGGAGAAAAAAACAGAAAGCCTAGCCCAGTTTTGTGTGTGTGTGTGTGTATGTGTGTTCAGTTTCCATTGTCACGCTGTTTTTGAGAAACCCAGATGAATGTATAGAATTACGAATCAAGAGGAACAAGAAATTAAGTGGATACTCTAAAAATTGGGCCTGGTCTTTCACATTTCAAATGCTCAGAAATAATCACAGTGTATACACTGGGGAAGTGGCATCATTTCATAGTATTCTAGTGCCTTTAAACTAAAACGACCCTATTTTCAACCCTCAAAATTCTTCCCTTCTTGGTTATAGCTCAAAAAGTACACAAACAACATTCCTCATTGAGGTGAGGTTTAAACTCCACCAGGCCATAAATGAACCCTTAGTCACCTAGCACCCACAGGCTAAATGGCAATATGTTCACATCTAAATAATAATAATATTGACTAATATTCCTGTTTTATATGATGAACATTTTGGTTGTATCCAGTTTTCTCAGTTAGAAATTCTGCTGCACTGAATATACTCTTAGCAAAGTTTCCATAATCCTTATTATGTATACAAATGTTGCTGAAGAGATGAAATTGCTTACTTCTTAAATTTCTCTTATGCTGGAGGTATCTTTTATTACTGCATGTCAGCCACAAGCTCCAGCTCCTTATATACATTATTTCTAATATTTACAAAAATCTGTAAAGTAGGTATAAAATATTCCTCCAGGAGTCCCAAAGTAATAAAAGCAAAATACTTTCTGGGCCTTGGCCAATGTGGCTCAGTAGGTTAGGCATTGACCCAAGCACCAAAAGGTTGCCAGTTCGATTCCTGGTCAGTGCACATGCCCGGGTCATGGGCTCGATCTCCGATGGGGTGTGCACGAGGCAACCGATCGATGTTTCGCTTTCACATCGTGTTTCTTTCTGTCTCTATCTCTCTCTATAAAAAAATCAATTTAAGAATCTTGAAAAAAAAAAAAGACTTTCTGGAAAGAGATAAAAGAAAACAAACAAAAACCATGAAATAAATGAAAGCAAAACAAACAAGTTGTATAGTAATTTTTGTTTAGTTAGCTTCCAGAAAAGCAATAAAATATTCTTTTCAAGATAACAGGTATTAATGATCCCGTGTCAGCTGATTTACATTGAGGTCTAATGAACTTGGCACTATGTACTGGAAATCACCTGGAGTAAAACATTCTATTTATAAATGCCACTTTATTCTAAAGTTTAAAAGATACTGGATTGCCTCTTCAGGGAAAGGCCAGAAACGTATCTTGTACAGTATCTGAAAGTCTGACTCATTCATATGCATTATTACACACACAAAAAGAAATGGTAAGCCAAAGAATTATTGAAATATCTAAGTAGCAATCTTTTCCTTCCCCTTTCCTGGAATACAAGTGAAACACTTCACGTTGTACGTTGCCAAGAACAGCTGGATGGGGAACGATAGGATGGCTAGGAGTTTAGTCTCAAAACACATGCTATCTGGTTCTAGCAAGATTTCTTAAGGGGCAACAGTAGGTCAAAATGAAAGAACTTGGCAATGTTTAGATTTTTATTAAAAGCATATACACTAAAGATAT